AGTCTTGGAGTAGTATTCCATTCGTCACCCCATTTTTGGTGAGGCACGCTGCAACGTCCTTTTGCGCAGCCAGGCTCGCATTGTTGCGTAGGAAGTCCGCAGCTTTGAGTGGGAGGCTGGCCAGGAGCTCGGCGGCGGCCTCGGCGAGTTCATCATGCTCAACATCCCCAACCTCTTGATCTTGTTCTGCAGCGACCATTGCCTCCGCATCCACACGAGCAGCCTCGTCGGGTTGGACGATTCCGGCCATGATTGGCAAACAAAGGGGGGGGCAAATATTCTGAGGGCGACACATTCCCCTCCGCAACTCAACAGAGTGATATTGAACTGAGAGACGCTCCTTCACCGGAGGGAGTTCAGCTCATGTCGCGCTTGCGATCAAAGGCTTTGCTTAAGCCGTTTGGACCAAAGTCCTCTCCGGCAGCTTCTATCCTTCCCATGCGAGCACCAGTGTACTCTTGGCAGTGGTCGCCTCCCCGCATGCCATAAGGGTGCTGGGGTAGGCGAGTCCTACCAACGTTTCACTGTTGCCGAGCTGGCGCTGCTCAGCTCGACTCGGAACACAGGTCGTGCAACCGACGCAGTGGCTCCCCGTGGAGCTTGAGTCGGAGACCTGTCCGAGACGCATGAGCCGAGGGACGGCGCTCAATGTCTTCGAGAGGGGCTCTCGCGGGAAGAGGCTTCTCTCAGAGATGCGTGCTTGCCAAAAGGCTTGACATTGTGGCGTTGGCGGCAGTGTGATGGCTGTGCCGGAAGGCTGGGCGGAGCTGGCGACATGAGGCACAAGAAAAAGACGCAATCATCTGACAAAGTCTCGGAGTTGACTCGTCCAGACTCTGGACTCCAGAGGCCTACGGAAGCTCTGCTTCGGTGAAACCGTGGGTATCTTCGGGCGTTGGCGAAGGCGGTTGCGTTCCGGACGCACGCTGGTGAAGCGTCGCTCCGGGTTGACTTTTTAATGTTGGGTTAACGAGTTACCCCGTGCTCAACACGGAAGATACCCGTATCATGTAGGAGAATAGGAAAAGAATAGCTTAGGATGTATTAGCAGAAGAATCACAACTTAGCTCAGTAATGAGACAGCTGAATATCGGGAGAGCGCAAATGTGACAGCCAATTGTGTTGAATACTGCAACAGTGACTAATGAAACAGTGATGGACACGAAGTTCGTGTCACGAACGCGCCGCTGCTCTTACTAAAACTCACCAGGTTTGTTGCCGGTTCGTTCGATGTGGGCAAAACCTTTCCAGTCCCCACGAGTCGTTGAGTCCCGACTGAAAACGT